CGAAGATGAAACGTATGCACGCATAGGTATAAAATCTCGCATAGCATACCAGTCATGTGTATACTGTTTACGATAAATTTGACCCAAAAAATGTCTTTGCCAATTTTTTTCTCCCCGTTTTTTCAAAATATATCGTTTTGTAAATTATTACATTAATACATAAATATCGCATACGTAATGTCATTGCGTTTTACCATCTCATGCGTACTGCACAATAAGCATATTATTATTATTATTATTATTGTTAGCGCAGTCTGCACATGCCAGATTAAATGCAGGTATACACTTTGCAGCGTAACGTTATTACAACCCCACCACGCGCCAAGCTGTTTGATTACGTGTAAATAACTCTTTTAATCAGTTATACGCCCGTTTTTATACACGCGTTTATATTATACAAATCCCCGCGAGCACGATCATCTTCGTCTACACAGTATATACGTACACGTGTGATACATACACGCACTTTTTTCCTTTTGTAGTTGTGACCCTATACCGTGTATTTTTATTTTTAATTTTTTTATTTTTTTATCACGGTCAGGTTTCTGTCTTTCAGATCTCTCCCCACACCGCATCCCAGCTTATTATTCCCCCGGCGTTTAATATTACACGATTCGCACTGGCTAATTAAGAGACACCGCCGCCGAACAAAACAGAATGTAGCACAATTAAAACGCGCGATGTATACAAACAAAACGAGCGGTAGCTACCTCTCTGCAGCGCAATACGCGAGCACCAGACTCGTGCCTGGGTGTCTACGGTGCCAAGTGAGAAAGGGGGAAAAACGTAAAAAAAAAAAAGATCACGTTAACAAAAAATAAAAATAAATTATATTAAAACGAAAAAAAAAAGAAAAAAAAAGAGACTACAGAGGGAAAGAGAAATGAACTGCTGTTCTGTGATAATGAAGGGTACCTACACACCACGCCCCGCCCACCGTCCTGTACCCAGGCGTCGTGCGAGATTCGTTACCCCGCGGATCTTCCGGACTTCTAAAATGCAGTTTATTATCGTCATTACCATTGTGTCTTCGGCGCAGTCATTAAAATAAGAAGAAAAACTAAACTAAACGTAGCAAGCACTGCAAACAATATATAATAGGCGCGTGTAAAACCTTATGGTAAGTGATCTTTTAGGGGGTGAAAAGGTTTTTTTTTACGTTTCTTATTATTTTTTCTCATCTACTTCACAATCTTCGGAGGAGTGTTATTGAATAAACAAGGTGAGAACCGCTCACTATTATAACATTATTACGCTAATTGTACAATATAGTGCAACGGATAATGGTGTATTTATTTTATTTCAGAAAATCGCTACGCGGGAGTACCATTCGATACATATAAGCTATACTCAAAATATATTGAAAGTTTAGTGTTATAGATATACATGTATACCCAAGCATAATCAACACGTAAACGGAAACATAATGATCATGTTTATACGTTTTAAAAATACTGTTTCCGAACACCTCAAACGTATATTCAATTTACAATCGTTTACTTTCATCGCGTTCGGATCTCGTAGAGAGTGTATAATACTCCTGACCAATATCTACGTTAGCGGATTTACTGGTATTATTTACCCGTAACATGAGCTATTTATATCGTGCTGGAAGACTTTTTTATTATATAAAAATGCACTAGGTCAAGGTGGATATTTTACAAAAAAATATTATTATTTTAATACTTCTCGTGTGCTGAGTGTACGCGTAACACCGTTAAGAATGCAATATTTCAATATTCCACTTGTTACGAATATAATAATAATAATAATAATAATTCATGTCAAAAAAATGTTTTGGAAAAAACTTAGAATTTCACTAGGTTATGTTGTACTCGTTTTGGGGGTGAATGTAAACGAAAATAACGTTAATTTGTTAGACGTTTGCTCTTATTCAATACGATGGTTGGTTTTTTAGCTCTCGAGCGCGGCGACAGTGCATATTATAATATAACGTACACTTGTTGCTGCGTTAAATATACAAAGGTTAACGCGAAAATTAACATTTCCATCGGAAACCGACAAATCATCGTCGCCGAGGGGTTATAAAGCTGTTCGCAGTAAATATAACGCAGCAACAGGTATATATATAATATACATCAGCCTCCCCACAGGAGCGTCAGCAGCAGGGTGTAGTATTATGCATAATATATTATAAATGTTGAAAAAAAAATAAAACCCGAAAATCGTTTCCGATATTTTCCCGTGTTATGCGTATAAATTGTACTACATATATTGGTGTACAATAAATGCTCGACTCGTATGCACACGATAAAAGTCAAAACGATAGCGTTCATATTTTTATTTAGTGCTGGCGCTACGAATGACTTATCGGTCGGAGACGATCGAACACTGCTGCAGCACATGTTTATTGCGCATATAATATCTGTCGGATACGTTGTTCGCAGCTACTAGACGACCGGTTGATCGCGCACGCGTGGAGGCGTACTTTTTAATTGTTTCACCAGCATTTTACAGTGTATAGTAAATATTAACACGATTGTTGGCATGAAAACGAAAATACGAAACGCACGCGGCTGTTAGACACGGACATTTATAGAAATCTTATACACATTTTACACATATATTTATTACATATTATCAGTGAGTGTCACGCGCATAGGACTAATGTGTGTATTGGTTAAGATGAATTGAACAAGATCTGCACGAGAAATATAAATAAATAAAATCTTTGTCGCGCGCAGAATATATTCACGTTGTATAATTTTAGACTCGCGATTCAAGGACCGTACTCGTTTTTGATAATCATGCGATTTGGATAATATTTACGAACTGCGGTGACTATTATGATCGGAGCAAAATGTTTATAGACTACGAATCGCTTAGTATGCATCCACTTAAAAATAGCAAGACACATATTATGGCGTTAAAAATATCAACTTATTATAGATACAACTATGGTATGATTCAAGTTCACTATTTGTATATTTAAAAAGTGTATAAACGATTTATTAAATTTTTAACCATCAAATTCAATTATCGACGTATTTATTAAACTATAAATGTATACAATTATTTTATACTAAAAAAAAAAAGACATTAAAATCAGAAACATAAGTAAAAATGATAATTTTTCAAATTTTCATTTTGTTTTTGCAGATTTCAAAGAATGAATTTATATCTAAATAAGGACTTGAAGTAAAACACACAAAACAATAAATATCCTAATCCTAATTATAATTAAACGAAATATTTTTTTATATCAGCCAAAGTTGGTTTTGAGTTGATAATTGAGAACTATAAATCGAAAGATAAAAATAATGGTTCTATTTTAAAACGTTGGAAAAATGAATGTGATATTATGTTCTACCATTTAGCGTAGAAAACAGAATTATAGATATAACGATATACCGTCCGTTTAAAGTGAGGAAAATCGGTAAATAAATGTTTTACCGATCGTAGAAGTGCGTAATTCAATACTATTCAATCGATTTTATGGCTAATAAAATAATAATAGCATATTAGGTACCTACATGACTTGTTTTGCAATAAAGTGATTTATTTATGGATACATATAATCTACGAATATGCAACACTTTCCTCATGATCATTATACACATACAAAAACGGTTTCCGATTTAAATACACATTTACAAAATAACGAATGACTGTTCAGATAAATTACAATTGGTCAAACAATTATAAATTATGTTCAATAAATATTGTTCGAAATGCAATTCCAATAGGTCTGACGAAACAGGATAAGACAATACCGATGATGCATTTACGTTTTTATTCAAATCAGTCATGTTATTCATTTAAGTGGATAATGCCGTCGTTATTATAACCTAACAAGTGTGTATTTCGTGCGAGTTCGGAAATCTAACGGTTAGCCATCGTGAACGGAGCGAAACAGAACCGCGCGTTGCCCAACTATTGTTAATAATTAACCATCTCATTTGATAGATATTCACGTGCGAACAACGTGGCACCTTCCCGACGCGATCCATTCGATTACGTTATTTTTTTCGACTGGGTAACGGACATGGGGCGAACGTCAGCGCAGTTTAACATTACATTGTAACAACGTTTATTTTGTGATGTTGCATCGCGAACGGGATCGAAACGTTTGCGTGCGACGCGTGTACATTCATTTTTTTTTTTGTTTGTATTTTAAAACGCGGGAAATCATTGGAAACACGGCACACAAATCGTCGTCCGACCGAATCAGCTGACCGTCGAACAATAAACGTTATGACATTTCGCGTCTGCGGACACGTCGACGGATCGGCTCGCGTCGTGATGTTTGCACGCGCGACGTAATACGGTTAACGCGGGTATAGGGCGTAATTATGTGCACAATATGTATCGGGTGTCGGACGAGCATAGGAAGGCAAACAAAAAATAAAGAAAAGGAACCCGCGTTCGGCGGCATCGACAGCAGACGCGCGTCAGGTTATGACCCGCCGACCGGTTGACCCAAAGGAATCCGGTTCTGACCGTTGGCACAGTCATCGCCGTCGTCAGAATCCGCCGCGGCTCGTGATCTCGCGCTGTTATTACCGTCGACGGTTGTGTGAATGACGCGCGTTTTCCGCCGGGTCACATTTTCCCGCGTATCCGCTCCCGTCGCCCCTGCTGCACACTGTCACGCGCCAACGTCCCGCCCGCAGTGCCTGCTCGATACGTGTTCGGGTCTTTCGAAAACAATTTTTTCTCGCTACCATTAAAAGCGTCAACCGGGCAAGCACTCGTTGGCGAAAAATCGAATGGGTTTTATTTCGAAACGCGCACGACGGAACCGTGTACAGCGAGAGCCGTTCGTTTTATATATTTTTTGCTGCGCAACATTCGCGGCGAAAAGTGTAGCGCATGTTTGTTTCAAATTATTGCGCGACGATCAATTGATTTTCTTCCGATAAACGTGTACAAATCATAGCTCGGACGTAGCGTGTTTACCATTAACTCAAATTATTATCACGTTGACGTTCGATTTATCCTATCCGGGGTTTGGTGACGTTAAAAATTCGAAAACTAACCTTCGCAGGTGAACTGTCCGTAGTGCTTGCCGCTGCTCTTGTCACCGCACACCACGCACTCGACGTGCTGTCCGTTCTTGTCGCACTGTCCGCCGAGGGTGACCAATGTGCCGCTGGACTGCGAGCTGGCCGTGCCGGGTGTAGTGCTCTGCTGGGGCTCTTCCATGTGGTGGCCACCGCCGGGTGGGTCGCGCCACACCGGTGTCACCAACGCCATACTTCGGGTGAACCCACCGAGATCATGATGGTGTCCACCACCACCGCCGCCGGACAACGGGTCCGGTGGCACGCCGTGCGGCGGCCCCTGGAGCGACGGCGGCGCGGCCGAACCACCGATAGGGCCGCCGGGGCCGGTCATGCCGGGGCCGCCGCCTCCGGACACTGTGCATAGTCCGCCTACCGCCGCGCGACACACCGCGAGGCCGTTATGCGGAATAATAATGTTGCTTGCCGGCGTGGACCTGAGCTTCCGCTGAAACCGTCGGGCCTGGGTTCCGACTTTGCGGCAGTGCTGCACGTGCCGGCTCGTGCGTACCGACGATCGACCGGCGCACAACGTTCCGTGGGTCAACGGGAATTTTTTCTATCGGTTCGCCGGCGAAAAAAACACAAGTCTGAGGAAAATAAAAATGTTTGCGTGCACTGTACAAAAAAAAAAAAAAAAACTTCGCGTATGAGAACGACGAACTTGGTGCCGTGTGATTTTTTTCTACGGATTATTATTTGCCGGAAGGGAAAACTTAAAAAACAAATAAAATCGAATACTACAACAATTATAATTCCCACGCGCGAAATGTGACGACAATTGAGACGACGGCGACGAAGACGAAGACGACGACGGTTTCGGATTTTTGACCTTTCGGAGACCTGGCGGCCGCGATCCCAGATCGGAGTGAACTGACCCGCGGGCCACCGGGTTAGGTTAGTAGACCCGACCGGGGACCGGTGCGCGGCGGCGGCAGCGTGCGTGCACGACGGCGGCGCGGCGACGGTGCTGCTGCCGCCGCTCCCCGCCACTGCCGTTACCATGACGACCGGGGCGCCCGGTGCGCTGCCATTGGCTCCCGACCCGGCCACCTCTGACCAATTCACACGCACGGTCGCGGCCTCCGGTGACATGATCCGTCGCGCGCGCGGTGCGACGGACGAAAAACCCTGTTGGCCGCGGCGGCGGGTGCCCCGACTATTTTCTCACTCCCCCGCCCGAGACGCCCACCGATCTACCGTCCCCCCCGTTCCCTTACATCGGCCACTTTTTTCGCGGACCCCTTTTTTTTCTCGTTCCCCGCGCATGCGCGTCCCGCCGCAATAATTATCTCGAGTGCCGATTCCCTAGCTGCCGGTCGCTAGCACAGGTGCGCAAGTGTGCAAGTGCCGCCGCGCGCCTCCAAAGCGCTCTCTCCTCCCCGCCGCCCACCATCGATTTTCCGCCGCGCAGGTGCACGCGAAATCTTCAAACTTCTCCGGAACAAGTTCGCCGTGTATACCCCGGCGCGCGATAAACGCGTACGCGACACCGACACGGGTCAACGATACTTACGGTCGACTTATCCCGCGCGCCCTCGTACGTCTCACGTTCCCGTCGGACTACTCAAGCACGACAACGGCGCATTTCGATTGGAAACGATTTTTGCGTCGTCCACATCGAACACGATTTGATCGAAATAGCTTTCGCTTCTACTCGAAAACGGACATCGTTTATTATGATAAAAACCCGAACTATATATAAATCGAGTATGCACGTTTTCGAAAATCAAGAAAAAATAGTCTGTTATCAATGTTTGTTGACACGACTGTTAGATTCATATTTATTACGGTTTTCATATTAATTATTAAAGCATAGAACACCATTTGCTATTCGGTACAATATTTGTACAGCAGTACCTACTGCCTGTGTACTAAAAACTACCTTTGGCAGTTGCTTTAATCAGACGATTGGTGTTCATGTGTTCCTTATGATTGCGTGCGTATAATAGTTTATACAAAGTAATTATATTTACTTAAAACACTCGGTCTTGAACTGTATCTATTGTTGTGGTTTCTGATTTGTGTGCAGTACATTTATAAATAATCTCATTAATATCAATTTTTGTACATAGGTACGTACATTTTTTTCAATACTATTCATAAGTGGAAATTCGGTGAAATTAGTGGGGGGGCCTGAGCATTATTTGCTTATTACACTTATATGTAAGTACCCCTGTATGCAATTATTTATTTCAACCAGGCAATTTACAAAGTTTGACGATTTGACATACTTAACAGTTTAACCAAAAAAAAACAATTAGGTGCCTTATCTTAAACATTTTTTGGAGTAGGTATTCTAAACAGAAATTATTAATTAATTAAATTAAACAACCAATGCAGGCATTATTACATATTATTAATATTACATTAATTACGATCGTTCCAAGTTATGATAATAAGTTTGTAAAATCTTACGAATTTGATTTAATTTTTATCACAGAAATTTTTTTTTTTAATTCAGTTATTAAAAATGCATTTTACAATTATAATAATTATTGTATTTTTAGTCACTTAACAACTTTTAGGGCTATGGGAGCTAAGACCTGTTCTTTACATTTCTGGGGGGCTTAGTCCTCTTAAGTCCCCTCCCCCCAATTTCTCCATATGATATTAGTGGACTATAGAAGCTCAAACGTATGGACCATATACATATACCATAAACCATATGAAGCCATGTTATTTTCTTGTATACATGTATATGTTTAGTTAGAAAAATATATTACAGTCCCCACTCCGTATATAGATATTGCAAATTGTAATTTGTACGTACGTCACGAATTTTTTTTTTTTTTGTTATCAAAACTATATAGCTCGTTATAATGAACCTTTATCGCTATTTTATAAATCTTCAGAGAGACGCTTTTTTTTTTAAAGTAACAAAATCCAATTATGGACAATATTATACACACGACCAATATGTTATGTATGTGTATAGTGTTTTATATACATATCTATAAGTAATAACTATATAAACATTATAATACAATTGTACTTTGAGAAGAAAAATTATTACCAATTTCACGGTTTTCTTCGATGTGTCCAATTATATGAATATCATATAATATATAGGTACGTATTCGACATTATTGTTGTAACTGTTCCGAGTTTTACCTATCACATAAAGTTAAAAACATCAAACTACTTCGTGGTGGTTAACGAATGGATGTTAGGTATTTGATTCACGTCAAATTACAGTGTATTGTTATATTAAATTTGTGGCGTCGTTACTGTTATAGGTATAATGTATATTATTCTGCAGATATTCTTTGTATGTTTATTATTGATTTATGTAGGTATATTGTTATTTTTTTTCTACACAAATGTTAGATATTCGATTATAATAATTCTTAATGGAAATAATAAAAGTATATATATATATCATGTTCTTAAGTATAGAGTAAATGCGCAATGTCATATTTGTTCATAGGTACCTCCTATATAGAATATAAAGCAAGTTACAATTGTAAGAACTTCGTGACACGCGATGACTCAATAACAATCGTATAAGCACATATACCTTCTATATATGACCTAATTATTCGGTTTCCGTGATTGAATATGCGAATAATCATAGCAATCGATTATCCGTAAGACAATGGGTAGTTAATATAAAAAAATATACTAAAATTTAACGTCGATAAATATTGGACGACTCGTCGAATAACATACCACCTTTTTATACATATACATAGATGTGTATGTATATGTATAAAGTTATTAAGGTCTTATGCAAATTACAAAAGAGTCGATTATATATTAATAATTATTCCATTTACAAAAATTCGATCTAGATTATTATAACGTTTGTTGGCTCAACAATTATTATAACATTATTATAACGTTTATTATTTATTTAAGCTAAACTCTATACAATATTATACACTGAACGGTAAAAAGTACCGTAGGATATAAATAGTGCTCTATAAGTATTAATTCACAGTGATATTTCCTATGTTAATAAAGATTATCAAATATTGTTTTTATATTTAAATAAATCTCTATATCCGAAACAATATAAGCTATTTTTAATAATATATATATTAAAATTTTTGTATCGGTTAAAAGTTATTTTTTATTCTATTAATTTTGTTAAATTTTAAAATAAGTTTTTTCATAAGGCTTATATATACTTCTGAAAATATTGAGTTTATTTTTAATTTTATTTATGCTCTTTATAAACCAATAGAAAATATTTGTATCTGGTAAGATTTTATGGATAAGCACTTGTCCGCTAATAAAACATAATTACATAACAATATTTTTCTGTAAATCAAAAGAATTCAATCAAGCCATTTATGAAGTATTATTTATTAAATAAACAATTTAAGCTGATTATCTTAATTTATAACACAATATTAGAAAATCCACATAGAATAGCTTGTATATTGTAAGTAGATAATCAATTTTAATATCGGAAAGTTTTTCATAATTTCAGTACATTTTATCTATTTGTAAAATAAGTATTAATATAAATTATATTAAAAATTATTACACTGAAGTATTTTTTAAATTTTCAGAGTCATATTTTATTACTTTTACATGCATTTTTTTAACGTTGCCAAAATATTATTTTGAAATTATGCATAATGTTATATTTTGTCTTACAGATTTTAGAATATTTGAGTAGTGTTAAATTATGTACAAAATATAGTTATTTTTAAGTTAAATTGTCGAAAAGAATAAAAATAAAATAACAGAAGATGTACAACTGTAATGAAAAAAATGTACGTATAAATATAGGAGTATAGTGTTTTATAAAGATCAACTGCAATTAGAAACTATTCTCAAATACCTACAGTCTAAGTTAAATTGTCTATAATTAAATAATGACTCACATTGAAAAAATAAAATTAAATTGATACAGTGACATTGGTTATACAATTACGTACATGCATCACACTACAATACGTTTCAAAAATTGGGTTTCGCATTACCGAGCGTATTTTAAGCATATTTTAGGTGCTAATTTTTAAAATAATAATAATATTACGATTATATTATTTTTGAAAACTTATATTGTTATGGAAGTATTTTATTTATATGTAGCATATTATACATTTATGAAGTGCTCTAAAGATTCAAATGTATGTATAATATACGAGTATAATGCGCATATAAAAAATATATGCATATTTTCTAAATCGTGAACAATTTTAGAGAAAATATTGAACATAAAAATCTGATAATATTATATTTCTTAACCATTGTAATGTATTATGAACCAGTATATACATATTTAGTGATTTTATACGTGTTCAACCACACCATTCATTAATTATTCCCAATGAACAAATTTATAATTGTTAAAGGATTATAGTAGGAAAGAAGAGAATTTTTTTAATATTTGTGGCATAATGAAAATTGATTTATTTTTATAATTTTAAACTATATATATATAACCTAACCTGGTAAATCCAATGAATTTAAAAACTCCGTTGGATAATTTATAGCTTCAGTAGCATCGCAAATTGCATCAATAGATTTGTATGACTTTCATCTATAGTAACTTTCCCATTACCGATATCTATAGATATAATATTATTATAATTATTATAATAATTGTTTTGAGAATCTTTCGCACGCAGCTCTTTTTTATTTAATCGCAAGTATCGAAATCGTTTGCTCTCTATCTTTACATACATGTCGACCATGAATTGCTGACAAAGCTCACGACATCGTAGAATAACGTTGTCCTGATCGCGTCCAATCATCAACCGATATGCATAATAATCCTTCAAACTAACATTCTTGTTTGTTTTGGCACTTGTTGCGGGATCTTGTTGTTTAATATCTATGCAATACTCGTCATTTAATACCAAAAATAAAATTAATAGTTTTTAAATAGTTTTTAATAGTTTCATTTAATAATTAATTTTCAATTACGGTTATCGACCGGGTCAAAAATTATT